TTGTATTAAAAATAATTGAAATTCTGCGATGAATTTTATTATTTATAAAAATAATTGAATTCTTACTTTGAATTTTATCAAAATTTTCAAAAATAATTGAATTCCTGAGAAGAATTTTATTATTTATGAAAATAATAATTGAATTACTGCGAGAAATTTTATTAAAAAAATATTTAAAAAGAATTGAATTTCTGTGAAAAATTTTGTTATTTTTGAAAATAATCGAAGCCTGTAATTATTTTGAATATTTATTTTTATTAACTAAACAAGAGTAGGTACCAACGTCAGGTGTCTAAAATATTCTTCTCAAATTAATATCGATTTAAAAAAAAAAAAAAATTGACCATGAAATATTTTCGTAAAATTTTTTTCATCTCCTCGCGAGACTATTATAAAAAAAATAATATTTCACAAAAGAAAAGCAAAATGTAGGAGAGATGGAAAATAATCGAAAGTTGTGAGTGGACCTCTCTCGTCGTCGCAATGCACACGTGAAAATGGCGTTATTCTGATCCTATCAGAATAAACGTGATTTATGGAACTATGTTGAAAGAGTTAATGGAGGCAAAATAGCCGTGGAACACCATGAATCCTTCTATATATCGGGGCAAATATTATTGATGAGGTTTGATACTAAGCGATATCTCTCGGTAACCTGTAGTTTATAATTTATTGGACGAGAAAGGAAAGGACCATTAATTGGCCACTGTGGGAAATGAAAATGCGCGCCTCCCTCTCTCGTTTTGTTTCGAGGATCTAAAGAACAATAGAAAAATAATTGCAGGATACAACTCTCTCTCTCTCTCTTTCTCTCTCTTCAGTAAATGCTATTTTTCCTCTTTTTTTTATCGTCACAGCTCTTTTTATTGTTTTTCAATTTAAATTTAATGAAAAATATTGATTAAATTCTCATATTCAAATATGAGTTATAAAAAAGAAAAATATGAGGCTTTATTCACGTGAGAGGGAATAGTGACAGGGGTGGGGAGAATAGAGAAAAATTATGCTCGTGATTCATTTACTAATGAAAAAGAAAACGAGTTTTTAATTGCAGTCTTAAAAAGCGGAACCAATCAATTTTTATCAAGGTGCCTCGATTTATTTTTATAATGAAAATATACATTCTCGTGAGGGGTTTTTTCCATTATTCATGTTCAGTAAAAAAAAAATAAAAAAAAAAAAAATTGAAAAATACTTCTATTTTAATATTTAACTTTAAAAATGGAATAAAAGTGAAATAAAGAAGATCGATAATAAACAAAATATATATATATATATATATATATGTGGGAAAGAAAATAGAAAAGGATAAAAATCGAGGGAAAATGGAGAAAAAGTAGAGAAAGCTTTTAGGAATAAAAGGATTTCTTTCTATTGAAACTAACGATTTTGTTGTTTTTAAGTAGTGAAAGCGGATTTTGGTCAAACGATCAGATTATAAAAAAGGGATTAAATAAGTGTGCGATTATTGGCTTAATTAAATAAACTTTAGATTTTCCCGATTACTATTTTTCTGAAATAGATTATAATAATAATAATGTTTAAACTTTAAAGTCTCAGAATTTAGGACTTCAAACACTATTATTATTATTTTATTATTTTTATTTTGTTCATTAAAATTTTTAATTTAAATCTTTAAACTAAAAAAGTAACAAACAAAAAAATGAATAGATTGTAACAAAAATAAATAAATAAAATTAATAAAATTTATATTAATTTAAATCATTAAAAAAAGTAAGAACAAAAAAAGGAATAGAGTGGAATAAATTTAGTTAATTAATTTTTAATAGACATTTAAAATCAAATATTTAAATATCGGAAATATTTTTTTTTTTAATAACAAAAGAGCGAAAAAAAAACTAATTTACTTTACTATATATGCTTGGCTTCTTTCGCTGAATAATGCAAAGCGTATTTCAGCTGCTTTATGTCTTGTTTCATTAAATTTTATTAAAAAATATAATCCTCTGTTAAATTCCAAATTCAATATCGAAATCAATCAATTCATTTTGAGTAGATAAGCGGATTCTATTGCATTCAATTTTCATTAAATAAACAGTTAAAGTGATTTTATTGAATTTTTTATAGTTCTTAAATTATTATTATTATTATCATCATCATTATTCTGCATTTCTAAAATTAAATACGTAAATTATTCGCTTTAACGTTAATAACAGTGTGTAGAAAATTATTATTGTTAATGTTTATTTTTTCAATTCATAAATAATACTAAATATAGTTCATTTTAATTTATAAAAGAATATTTTTGTGAATTTCGATGAAAATAGTAAAAGAAATCTTTTAAGTAATAAAGGAAATCTTTTAAATAATAAAAATAATCTTTTAAGTACCAAAAGAAATCTTTTGAATAATAAAAGAAATTAAAAAAATGAAACAACGAAATATACGAATCGATATAAAAGAGCAAAATAAAAAAACAAAATTAAAAATAGGATAAAACAACATAATATAAATGAAACAAAATAAGAAAACAAAATAAAAACAGAATAAAAAACGAATTCAAGTTAGAAAACAAAATAGAAAAGCATAAAAAATAGAAAATAGAAAAGTTAGAACAAAATAGAAAGCAGAATTAAACAAAGAAAATAAAATAAACAAAACGTAAACAAAATAAAAAGCAGAATAAAACAACAAAATAAAATAAAAAAAAACAAAAACAAAATAAAAAAACAAAGTAAAACAAGAAAATGAACAAATAAAACAACAAAAAAATAAAATAAAATAAAATAACAAAACAAAAAACGAGTTAAATAACGAATAAAATAAGAAAACGAAATAAAAAGCAGAATTAAACAAAAAAATTGAATAAATAAAATAAAAAACATAATAAAACAACAAAATAAAATAAAAAAAAACAAATACAAAATAAAAAAATAAAAATAAAAGAATTTTTATAAATTTCAATTAGGTATAAGAATAAAATAAACCAAACAAAATAAAAAACAAAATAAAATAACAACAAAAAACATAAAATTACAAAATAAAATAACAAAATAAAACACGAATTTAAATAACAAAGCAAAGTAATAAAACAAAATGAAAAACGAAATAAAATAACAAAGTAAAATAAAAAGACAAAATAAAATATCAAAATAAAAAAACAAAGTGTAGAAAATCTAAAAAGCAAAATATTGCAAAATAAAAAACAAACTAAAAAACAATAAAATAGCAAAATTAAAAAAAAAATAAAATAATAGCAAAATAAAATAAATAACAAACTAATAAACAAAATAAACTCTAAATACATAACCAAAAATAACGAACCAAAATAAAAAAAACAAATTAAAATAACAAAAAAAATTCGAAATACGAAAATTTAAAAATATATTTTCTATTAAAAAGTGAATTTTAATGAAATATTTTCCAAGTATATAATTAAAAATGCAGGGTTTCTACAAGTCATGGAAAACCTGGAAATCATGGAATTGTCATGGGATTTCATTTTGATGCATGGAATCATAGAAATATAATAATAATGTTTACGGAAAATGAGTAAAATTTATTAATTTTAATAATTTCTAAAAATTACAATTATAACCCTTCCTGAATTTAATTATTTTCTACAATTTTCAAAGAAAATTTCATCTCTGAATCAATTAATTCAAATAATTTTTCAAAAGTTCTTCTAGAATCCAATTATTTAAATATATAAACTCAATTTTTTATAATTGTGACTCTCCATAATTTTTTTTAAGTTATTAAGGTATAATATTTTCAAAAAATTATAATAAAGAAATTCTTACAATTAATTTTTTTCAAATATTTTAAAATAATTTTTAAACGATAATAGTTTTTCAATTTTAAAAAATTTCCAAACAATTAAAATTTGGTAAAATTCTTTAAAAATAATTGAATTTTTGAAAAGTATAAATAAAAATGATCAAATTTTTCAAGAATTTTAATTATAAACAGGACCATGATTTCTCAAAAATTTTATCAAGTCTAAAAAGTAAATTTTGAATCTTAAAAAATTATTACAAAACAATTCTAATAATTGGTTTTTAGAAATATTTTATTAATATCATTTTTTCGAAAATAATTGTATCCCTTAAAAGAATTTTTGTATAATTTAAAAAAACTAATGAATTTTTTGATGAATTTTAATTAAACAGTTTGAAAATTATTGTTTTCTCCAAAATGTTAAAAATAATTCTAAAATGAAATTATTTTTGGAAATATGTAATTAAAAATATTAAAAATATTGAATTTTAACAAATTACAAGATTATTTTCATTTTTAAATTTACCTTTAAAGATTTTTCATTAAAATTTTCAATAAATCAATTATTTTCAAAATTTGCAATAAAAATTCTTCAAAAGTTGATTTTCTAAAATTGTAACAAAATACTTGAAATCAATTAATTATTTTCAATTAAATTTTACAAAATTTTAACTATTCAAAGACAATGTTTGAAAGATTTGTTTATAGATATTTTTTGCATTATAAAAATAAAAATAAGTTTGCACTTTTTTTACTAAAAATTGTGGTATTTTGTTGTAATGTTTGAAAGAAAAATAGAAAAAGTCCCAATTCTTGAAAATAAGTCGAAAAAGTCTCTTTTCTTAATTTTCCTGACAAAAAATGTTTTTCGTGACATTTACCTAACTTGACTGACAAAAATTTTGTTTTAATGTGTCATGGAAATTTTTTCATCACCTGGAAATCATGGAAAAATCATGGAATTTTATGTAAGGAGAAATTTGTAGAAACCCTGAAATATTAGTACAAAAAAATGAAAATTATTTTTCCTAAAAATTAAATTAATAATTCAATTATCTTTTATATAGAAATAAAAAGATACGAAATGTATAACATTTTTTTCAAAAGCTCACATTCCCTATATAAATGAAACTATAAATATTTGTGTCTAAGAAAATTGAACAAAAAAAAAAAGAAAAAGAAAAAAAAAGAAAATTGTGATCGATAAATTTTTCTTGAAAAATCATAAAAAAAATCTCCTTTTTTCTTGTCTGTTACAGCTCTACCGACACACATTCCTTGCCCACTACAGAATCGTGAACCTGCAAACTCTGTAAGTAAACGAGCCATGCGCTTATCGCATTTACGATAATCATATTTCAGACTTATTTCGGAGTAAAATTTAGATTTGCATTTTAATCTCGCGCCTCCCACACAACTAACCAACGAATATAGTTGTGTGTGTGTGTGTGTGAAAGTCTTTTCTCTTTTTCTACTCTCCCTCTCTCTCTTCTTCTCTCATGGTCTAGAAAGTTTTTCACGACATCTTTAACCCCCTAGTTCCCAAGTCCGCGCACAAATTACAAACTGCGCGCAATTTTAATCCTCCTTCTCACTTTTCCGCGATTCATTCTTTTTTTTCTGTTGTTGTTCTGTGGCAATTTTTTTTTATACGTGTTGACCTCTTCAAGGTCCGTTGACCGCGGCTTTTTATTAATATTAAAGGTGTTATGATGTATATTCACAGAGTGTTTTCTTCTTCTTTACTGTTATTTATTTTTTGCCACGGTCTATACCTATATATATTTTTTTCCATTGTCTTTTTTTTCTATTTTTTTCCATTTATATATTTACACTGTGAAAAAAAAATTTCCTTCGCAAAATTAAAGGTAACCACGTTTGCGGAAAGAATAATTTGTGCATCGTTGCCTCGCGACTGGATTTCTCGTGTTCGCGAAAATTCGCGTGAGCGCAGGTTAAGCAATGAAGAGACTGAAAAAGTAAACAAAAATTTTTTTAATTTGAATTTTTTTATGTAAAAAAAAAATTATTTTTAACAGCAAAAAAAATAATTTGTAACTAATTACAAATTAATTTGTTACTAATTACAAATTAATTTGTAACTAATTACAAATTAATTTTTAACTAATTACAAATTATTTTTTTTGCTGTAGAAAATAATTTTTTTTTACATAAAAAAATGCAAATTTAAAGAAATAAAATTTATCAGCGTTCATTTCAACGTTCGAAACTCGAAACTTTAGGAACATTTGCAATTAAGTAGTAAACCAATATTCAATCAGACAATACTCACTGTCAAGAGAAACTGTCTGACGTAATACTGAGTTGACTACTCACTATTTGTGAGCTGTCTCACCGTACGTTGATGTTTCTACTGCGCTACGAAAATAATTAAAATAAAAATATTCAGATAATTTATTTATAAAAAAATATTTGAAACCAAAAATATGTTTTAATGTCTGACTACAATGTTTGTACTACTGAATTGCAGAATTTACCAAATAGAAGTAAAAAAAAAGTGTTTGAAAGAAAATATTTTTGACACAAGATTTAATAAAATATGTATAATTAATAATAATTAATTATAAAAATTAATAATAATTAATAATTAATTATAATGAAGTAATTATAATTTAACTATAATATGTAATTAAATATAGGTAATTAATATTTAATTACTTTAATTGTTATTTTTTGATTTTTTTAATTATTATTTAATGAGTATAATAATACTATTATTATTATAATTATTATAAATTTATAATATACTAATTTCCTAGAATTTTACTAACAATTCGTAAAATTTTACTAATGTCGTAGAAATCTACTAATTTCGTAGAATTTTACTAACATTTATTAAAATTTTACTAAAAATTAGTGAAATTTTACTAATTTCCGAGAATTTTACTAATTTTGTAGAATTTTACTAATTTCCTAGAATTTTACTAATTTCGTAGAATTTTTACTAATTTCCTATAATTTTACTAATTTCGTAGAATTTTTACTTATATTTCGTAGAATTTTACTAATTTCGTAGAATTTTTACTTATTTTGTAGAATTTTACTAATTTCGTAGAATTTTATTAATTTTGTAGAATTTTATTAATGTCGCAGAAATTTACAAATTTCGTAGAATTTTACTAACAATTAGTAAAATTTTACCAATTTCGTAGAAATTTATTAATTTCGTAGAATTTTACTAACAATTAGTAAAATTTTACTAATTTCGTAGAATTTTACTAACAATTAGTGAAATTTTACTGATTTCCTAGAATTTGACTAATTTTTACTAATTTTTACTAATTTCCTAGAATTTGACTAATTTCGTAGAATTTTTACTTATTTCGTAGAATTTTACTAATTTCGTAGAATTTTTACTAATTTCGTAGAATTTTACTAATTTCGTAGAATTTTTACTAATTTCGTAGAATTTGACTAATTTCGTAGAATTTTTACTAATTTCGTAAAAATTTACTAATTTCGTAGAATTTTACTAATGTCGCAGAAATTTACTAATTTCGTAGAATTTTACTAATTACGTTATTTTTTTATTTTTTCAATTATTATTTAATAAGTATTATTATTTTATTATTATAATTATTATAAATTTATAATATATTGTTTCATATATTTAACAACATATTTTTAAATTTTAACATAAAATATAGACAAGTTTAGCGAAAGTATCCATCGATTATATTCATTGTCTGACTCTAGAATATTTACACTACTGATTTACGGAATTTGCCTACGAAGGAAATAATTTTCTTAGTTTTCAACGTACTGAACGAAATTTTCAAATCTCACCCTTTTAAATATTTAAAGAAAATTGCTATACAAAAAAGAAAAATAATTTAAATTCTATTAAAATTACAAATTCTAACCTCGATAAAAATATTTTTTTAGTTCACAATTAATTTTTTTAATATGCAAAACAATTTTTTTTTAGTAACAAATAGGAAAATTAGAAGAAGTAAAAAAACATCGTCATTTATTCGAACGTATTTAAACTTTAGAAACTAAAAATAGAAAATAGAAAAAATTCGTCAAAAATAATTTTCTTGTCTGGCCAAATAATAGTCGTATTACTGATTTTCAAAAAAATTTACACGCAAAAAATAAATAACAGAAAAAATTTATTTGTGGTAGGAAAAATATTTTTATTGAAACAAATTCTATAGCAAAATTCGTATATTTATTGAACCACCATTATATCAATATTGTCTGACCATACGTCGATTTTTCTACTGATACGCAGAGAAGAATTAAAAAGAAAATATTGAGGAAACCACGAAAAAATGTAACAAAAATGTGAGAAAAAAATTACACGAAAAATTTCAAATATCCAATTTTTCTTTTTTATTTTGCTGTGCAATATTAACTGAAATGCTTTCAAGTTTATTGAAACACGTATTAAATTATTTTTAATTACTAAAAAATTTTTCTTCTTGTCGATTTAAAGCACGTTTCGTTGGAATTAAAATTACAAATTCTGAACTCGATAGAAATATAAAAAAATTACAAAAAAAAGTGTTTCTGATTCTTAGAACTTGCGTTGCATTTAAATTTTTTCAATGGACGTTTGTAAAATAATAATTTATAAAGCGAAGAAAAAAAATTCTATTTTTCACCATTTCTCATACGATCGAACTTTCAATACAGCGAAAATTTCTATATTTTTAAATTAAAATATTGTAATTTTTTTTAAAACGAATGCTATTTGTTGCATCAAATAATTTACTTGGAACATTTTCTACAATTTATTTCCAATGATTTTTGCTTCCTCATAGAGGAAGAATTTTTATAAATTTCTTTTTAGTTACAAAAATTATTCATTTCAACTACAATTTTAATTTTAATTTCTTTTTTTTCATTTCAACTAATTTCGAATCAATCAAATCGAACTATTAATTAAATGAACAATTTTTTCTTTCGAGCAATGCATTCTTTAAATATAACTAATTTCCTAGAATTTTACTAACAATTATTAAAATTTTACTAACAATTAGTGGCATTTTACTAATTTCCTAGAATTTTACTAATTTCGTAGAATTTTACTAATTTTCTAGAATTTTACAAATTTCCTAGAATTTTTCTAATTTCCTAGTATTTTACTAATTTTCTAGAATTTTACTTATTTCCTAGAATATTAATAACAATTATTGAAATTTTACTAACAATTAGTGACATTTTACTAATTTCCTAGAATTTTACTAATTTCGTAGAATTTTACTAATTTTCTAGAATTTTACAAATTTCCTAGAATTTTTCTAATTTCCTAGTATTTTACTAATTTTCTAGAATTTTACTTATTTCCTAGAATATTAATAACAATTATTGAAATTTTACTAACAATTAGTGGCATTTTACTAATTTCGTAGAATTTTACTAATTTCGTAGAATTTTACTAATTTTCTAGAATTTTACAAATTTTCTAGAATTTTACAAATTTCCTAGAATTTTTCTAATTTCCTAGTATTTTACTAATTTTCTAGAATTTTACTTATTTCCTAGAATATTAATAACAATTATTGAAATTTTACTAACAATTAGTGACATTTTACTAATTTCCTAGAATTTTACTAATTTCGTAGAATTTTACTAATTTTCTAGAATTTTACAAATTTCCTAGAATTTTTCTAATTTCCTAGTATTTTACTAATTTTCTAGAATTTTACTTATTTCCTAGAATATTAATAACAATTATTGAAATTTTACTAACAATTAGTGACATTTTACTAATTTTGTAGAATTTTACTAATTTCCTTGAATTTTACTAACAATTAGTGACATTTTACTAATTTCCTAGAATTTTACTAATTTCGTAGAATTTTACTAATTTTCTAAAATTTTACTGATTTCCTAGTATTTTACTAATTTCGTAGAATTTTACTTATTTTCTAGAATACTACTAACAATTATTGAAATTTTACTAACAATTGTGAAATTTTACTAATTTCGTAGAATTTTACTAATTTCCTAGAATTTTACTAACAATTATTGAAATTTTATTAATTTCGTAGAATTTTACTTATTTTCTAGAATATTACTAACAATTATTGAAATTTTACTAATTTCGTAGAATTTTACTAATTTTCTAGAATTTTACTAACAATTATTTAAATTTTATTGATTTCGTAGAATTTTACTAGCAGTGAAACTATTTTTAAATAAATTTTTAGTTCTTTAAAAGAGTTTTTATTCATGCAAATAAATATTTAGTTAAATTGAATATTCGTCGAGTGAAATTATTATTTTACTATTTTTCAAATGTTCCTTTCGCTTTAATTTGAATTCCAAGGAACAAGCAAT